AGTAATGGTTGAAATCTTGGAGCGATTTTCCAACTACTTTCATCACAGTCTTCTGTCTTCGAATCTAATTCTACCTTATGGTTTTCTTCAAGTTGAACTTCCCAACGATCAAGTACAGCAATTTGAGCTTGCGAAGTCTGTAGAAGTGTATGGAAATGACGTTTCGGATCGTATTTTTCACCCCAAGCCAGGACACTCGAAAGATCATTACCTGTTCCCAATGGACAAATGCTCACTGGAGGATTATTTCCTAGTGGATAGGCCTCGGCTACACGACTAAAAATCCAACCAACAGTACCATCACCGCCGAATACACAAATACGCAGATTCGGTAGCGAAGAATACGTATTCAGAGCATGAATAATTGTATCATCGTTTTCCAGAAGAAATACTTGACGTGGATTGAGTCTTCGTAAGAGTTCTCGATATATTTTCTCGCCAACTTGACCACCAGAGCGTTTATTTATGAAAACAAGAACAGGTGTATAGGAAAATGCATTTGGCTTGATATCACTGTTATTTGAATACGACACTACTTGTGCTTTGAAACCAGTTGAAGATTCACTCGAACGAATGAGCCACTGTGGCCGTACAATTATATTTCTATTGACAAAGAACAAAATTGAAACGTCAATTGATAAAAACAGTTCGATTAAATTATTATGCATGACATCTAGATGAACTCAAAAATTAGAATAAACTATATCTTCCGAAATAAAATAATTTTTTGAAAAATCTTGCAGTAAGCCAGAAATAAAAATTGATTTATTGCGACTCAATCAGAAGAAATACACAAGAAACCTACTGAAAGATACCATAGTCACATTGAAGTTGATTTTGAGGAGTAAGTTGTTCCCAACATGAATGATGATAACATTGAAAACACCATAAGCAAACAAGACCATGTGAAGCGTTCGACGGATCATTACTCAATGTTTCTGGTGTATCATTAATCATCGATTTCATCTGGTCAACAAAGTCCAAGGGAGATATCACAAATGTTAGTTGGCAATGCAAACACGGTTCTAGAAGTTTTGACACATGCGACCAAAAATGTTTATCCGATTGCAGCACATTGTCTTCGCTGTCCATGGGCGCGTTTTGTTGTTCTTTGTTATCGAAAAATGATGGTCGACATGATTGAATGGAGTCATCATTTGTTGTGGATGAATTAGTCAAATGATATGCATGTATTATCACATCACATGATTGACATTGTAGAAGTGCTGTTAGACCTGTTTGGTGCCCCTTGCCACATGAGTTGTAGGCACATGACTGAACAGTCGATGAATCATCGGATGTAAAAGGAAACCAGCAATGAGATGAAGGATGAGCACGAATGCTCCAGTCGACTCCGTATGGAACGATATGGTCGTTACTAGACCTCGACGTTAGTACACTCATGATCAGTTATCTAGAAATTAAATAAAAGTGTAAACACAAAATATATCCTAAACCTTGAAGTTATAGACTACTGTGTTCGGCATCGAAGAAATATTTAATTCACAGTCTCCTAAAGTATACTATCGTTTTATTAGCATAAAAATCATCTGTAATCTTATATTGATCATCTTCATTAACAAAAAGCTAAAGTTATATTTATTGATGAACGTGAAAAAGATGCTAATAATAATTTATCGATATTAGTTACAATGTTACAGAGCAATTAGAGTACGGTTAGTATGCAAGGGCAATTGAAAACAATATACATTCTCGAACAATTTACGAATTTAATATTCTACTTATAAACAGTAAATCAAAATTTCTTTTATTCAAAACATGACACTCGAAATCATTGAGACGACAAATAGTTATAATGATCGATAGGATAATATAAGTTTACTTAGATGAATTTCTAATTAGTAGTAGTACGAAGCACATATTCATCGCTAAATATATTGAAGAAACAAATATATTCAATAAAGCTACCATACACGAAAATGAAAAAAAAAGCAAGATAACTAAATTCCAAATGTCAATATTTATTTGGAAATAGACTATGTACTGGATAATTAGAATTATAAAAAAAATATAAATTATTCGTTTCTACTATACTAATCAATTTTAAATAGAAATTCGAAACTTTGGTTTAGAAAAATCCAGATTAAGGTTTTTGAATAACATATAAGCATAATGCAATCTATAACGAGTAATTAAAACATGTGTTTAGAAAAAGATCTAACAATAAAAGAGAATGATTGAAAACTATTACATGTAATTTAATTCGGAAATTGTAAAACATGGTTAAGAGAATTCATATCGATGCGCATTTACTTTAAATAAGCCTGTGTCCTTGATAATATTATTCGTTGGACAAAAATGATGAATCAATTTATTTGTTTATTTTATTTCATTATCGTTTCGTCTTACTA